ATTAACAAAAGAAAGTTATAAGTTATGTACGTTCTTAATTTAATGCCAATTGATTCTGTTTTCCATTTTGGCTTTGTTACAGCTTTGGTTGGGTTCCGTGATTCCAATAATTTAAATACTTTTAATGTTTAAGTTTGAATCCTGCTTAAGTCAAAATACTTCTAGTGTTGAAGATTGTATACCGTTAAGTCGAAATACTTCTAGTGTTGAAGTTTGAATCCTGCTTAAGTCGAAATACCTCTTGTGTTGAAAACTGAATAGTGGTTAAGTCGAAGCAATGACTTTATGAGATGATGACATTTTGTACGAACTCAATCAATCTAGGACTGCATTTTTTCCTTAATATGTTTGTTCTTTTAGCTGCTATCGGGGGTTATATTTTTCACAAGAATTGTGTATACTGACATTCCAGTGAATATTGGATAATATCGTAAAGATAACAGATATTGGTGACTCAGATAAAATGATAGATACATAATTATATACTGTATCGCCAACGAAAAAAAAAATATCGGTATAAAATACAATACACCACAAAAGTGTTATTGTATCAGCAATCACAGTAACACCTGGAGGCTCAACCAGTCTGACACTCTTCTTATTACAGTGCGAAGTAGCGTGAAGACAGGTCTGTACATAATATAATGATTATAACACCTTTTAAAGCTATATTAAACTATACTGTATACCATTGATATTGATCATAACACATTTGCTGAAAGGTGTTGTAAAATTATGATAAAATATTATATCTTTTTTAGATTTTGCTGAAATATGCACTTTTGGAAATCCTTTTTCTACAACAATGCCATTTTAACCAGATTCACTTATTGTGGGTTCAGAAAGTTTTTAATATTAAAATGGAAGGCTGTTTATAGTTTTTGCTCTAAATGTCAAGCTTTAATCAGTTTATGCTCGGTCATTTGGCGACTACCCAGCTTTACTGGTGGATGAAGACTCCACCTGGTATCCCTCAACGCGGCCGGTCATCTTGGTAAAACTATCGAACTTCCGTTGGCTTGCTATATATAGCTTCCTTTTATGAAATGTTGTTAGGTGCCAAATTGATTGATGGTTGTGGTAGTTTTCACACCGGATCACAGTAGTAAGCCACATTGAAATTACAAGTGTACAATTCAGCCAAAACAATCGTTCCTGGGCAGGCTGTCAAGCAGTTAACCAGTACTAGTTGCCTTCAGTTTCGCAAGGAACAGAAACTTCTGTACATACCAGAGCTGAGGTACAGTGTGAATGATCATAGAAAAGATTTCATGATCAATCACAACGAAAGTGGCCTGCACTATCCGGGCATTGAACCCGGCTGGCCTGATTCACAGTCCCAAATTGATTCTAATCCATATAAGTTCATGTACTGAAAAAGAGACAAAATCAGCAACCACTACATCATAGACAAATCAATGTTCATTATACAATATGCATTATAACGGACCCCTGAATAAAACGTCCATAAGATAAGTTATTGTAATCTAATATTGATAATAACAAATACTTATTTCTATAGAATAATTAAACATTTATGTTTTACAACACCAACAAAAGTAGGCGCATTTTTACTTCGTTTATCAAACCATCATATTAGAATAAACAATATCAACAGTTTACATATTCATCGGAATGAAAAATACTCACATGATAAATGAGTTTTCTCCCTTGAGATGATTCTGGGCACCAATAGTTTTCGCTACCACATGCAGCATTAAGTTATGGATATGGGAGCAACAAAGGGAGAGAAATCATCATTGGATATATTGAAATGATATTTAAAATGAATAAGAGTTTTCTTGCTTGGTGCGCTCAAACAGACGTGAGGTTTGCATAAGATAAATATAAGGAACATTTATTAATTATGTTGTTTCTTTTTTGTTAAAGTTATATTAAATTGGCATAAAGAACAACATAAGGAACCACAAGTGCCATTTGTGCAGATGTCAGTTTAACACCATTCAAAAAGATTCAGTATAGTTATCGCCTGTCCACCTGGGATCCACTTTGTAAAAAAATCAAGATGGCCGCCAAAATTCAAGATGGCCGCTAAAATGTTACTGAGTCATATTTTGATACACGTCTGACTTCCTAACCATAAGTCTGCAATTGACAACAGGTTTTGTTCATGCGACAGTCGAAGGCCAAGATCATGTTTTGCAATTTCAATGTCATGTCAACTCTGCTTAAAAGTCAAAACAGGACTTTTAGTTTATACAAATTTGATTTAGTTCGAATGTGTTGGAAGCTATAAAATTATTACGTTCCGGGGACCAACCAGTACTAAGCAATAAATATAAATGTTCTTTCTTAAAAAAACAACGGCTTGCCCCAGACAGGATTTGAGCCCACGCGGTCAGCAATCCTTAGATTACTTGTCCGACACGTTAACCACAAGGCCAGACCGCCACTCAGGCAGAACTTTATATAAGTTAATATCACTGCGGTCCTTCTAGATAAAGAATCGGTTAGATTCAGTATAGAAAAACAAAGCAATATGTTATTCAACAAAATCATGTTTTATCACAGATAATTACATAATAAAAAGCGAATACATGTATATTTTACTTTGACACAAATTTTCTTAAACATTAAAAAAAATATGTACACACTATTTATATCATATTTATCATATTTAAAAAACTACTGAAGAGTTTGTCGCTCATTGAAAACAATCTACAGAGTAAAATATCAAGACCAATTTACAAAATATCACCAAAAAATATGTGTTTACTTCCTAAATTACATACATGTATTTTCATATTAATTTCATTCAAATGTGTTGAATTAATATTTACATGATATCAATAGCGGTTCTACTGGTTTGATATACACCACACATACATTTTAAAATCAATAATCAATTCAATAATCAAAGTGCTTTCTAAGAATTAATAACCTTTATATACAGTGGTAGCAATGATTCTAAACCAATATTTGCTGAATTTATGAAAGAGGCATTGTCTTTGCATTGAGTTCGAGGCGTTCCATTGTCAGTTAAAAGGATTTCACAATTAGTACTCGTAAATAAAACTAGACACTTGACAGTATTTATAAGGAGTTCTATGTTGTTTAGATAAACTGAAAAATATGAGACAAAAATCAACAAGATAATGATACATGTACTTCACAGAACGCAGCCCTCTTCTGCCGTCACAATTTCCTGTCATATTCATGTCATATTTCATTAATCACAATATCATATAGAGGTAGACCAAGTTTATACATTATTATTTATATAAAATACTTTTTATATTTCCTGCATTTATTTTACATAATTGATCAAATTGTATTTGAGACTTGGCCAATTAAAAACAAATCAATACTACATAAATATAAACACATCACATTTTATTTTATTTATTCTATTGCACTTTCTTTGTCTGGGCTTCCTTATGCCAGACTTCTTCTTTGGCATTTCCCGCCTGTACAATTTGGGCTATCCACACGGCAATGGAGAAGGCAAAACACCACTGGAACCCGTACATAAACCATGGCCTATATCCGTTCTCACCATACAGGCCAAGTTTACATCCGACCATTTCACCAACCAAAAACAAAACGCATCTTGTTAGTTCATAGAAGTTTGCTGACTTGCTTTAAAATGAAAATATATTAAAAGGTTTTAATATAATTAATATTGTCACAGAAAATTCATATAACTTGACAACAAAACAATATTAATTCTAAATGAATATTGCAACTAGAATTAAAGATAATAAGAATATGCGTTAATGTATTTCGCGCAATTTTTCCAGAAGTGCAGACACCTTTATCAATTCATTCAACTAGAAAATAAACATGTAAGTACACATATTTAAAAAGGAGACAGAGTAATTTACAAAACAGTTGAAAATGTGAAATGCATGATTAAATCATTCGACTGCTGATACGCGCAAGCATTGAAAGCGCTACCGAAAAGATTTGAGTTTGTTATTTTTTCACAAAGACTCCTTTTCCTTTTAATGAATCAAAGGGCTGCAAGCTCTGTGGTATTTTCTGATCTTTGCAATCTAAATCGTACTGTTTATATATCTGTATGTGTTTTCCTGTGTAAGTTTATTTTTATGTACTATAATTCATCTTGCAGGGCACCAGAGTTTGATCACAGGAACTTGACATTTAATAAATAGATCACAAAATATGCGTGTATTAGTGATATAGCCCTTATCTCTATGTTTTTAATATAGATATAAGGGCTATATCACTAATACACGCATATTTTGTGATTCTATTGATTAAATGTCAAGTTCCTGTTGTTTGATACATACGGAATTTTGCATAACTAGAGTTGCATCAAAAAAATCATTTATGTTCATTTTTTATGATAGCCACACTTTATCCTTGCATATCATGGCTATTTCCTTAACAAAGACACTAAAAAAAGAATTAAAAAAGATGTTGACTCGACTGGGATTTGAACTCCAGACCTCTCACACATTAAACGAGCGCGTTACCACTGCACCACGGAGAAGTTTTTAAAACAAAGGCTGAATAAAATCAAGTCATTGTAAATTTAGAATTTCCATTGCATTTCGGGTTTTTAAAGCCGCACAGGATGAATAAAATCAAGTCATTCTAAATTAGAATTTCCGTTTCATTTCGGGTAAGGGTAATTTCGAGGTATTTTGTTCAGGAAAAACCTGTTGTTTAAAATTGAAGTAAATAATTTAGCAAAATCTTCTCGCCCAAACAGTCCAATTACATGTAGAAACTATATATTCAACTACTCGGCAGTCAGATTTATTTGTGTAGTATTCGGTAATCGACATCGCTAAAAATAGCATTTTCATTAATAAAAATCATATTCATCCGCGTAATTTATGAGTGTGCATTTATTGACAATTCTATAAGCCAACGATACTTTTAAAGTTTGAATGTGTAGTAATTTGTTGGACACTTGTAACAAAAAAATGTGTTTTCTTTTAAATTGCTGGTTTTTAAGTAGTTTTGAGTGAGAACTACTTTGCGTTGTTAGGTATGTACGGAAATTTTTTCTAAATTGAAAATTCAAACCTGTCGTCGAACAAACGGCCAAAACATGTAAGGTTGTAGAAACAGTACACCAGAAATATCAGAACAGACGTCTGTGATAAAGTCTGCAAGAACAACAACAGAAAGCTGTATTTTTTACTTTACATTTGTACTCAGCAGCACTAACTCTTTTTTATTTATTGATAATAAAGGTTTTATATTGTAACTCACGCAGTTTAAGGAACATGAATTCAAAGATTTTACAAAGTTGTAACAATGTGACAAACGACTAAACTATTACGTTCCAAATAATGCAAGGACAAGAGAGCGAATTAAAGGGGGGCAACTTAATCAAAACTGTTGCTATATCCAACAAACAAATTTATGCACAATTAAAATATTACATATTTGAGCCGTGTCACGACAAAACCAACATAATGGGTTTGCGACAAGCATGGATCCAGACCAGCCTGCGCATCCGCGCAGTCTGATCAGGATCCATGCTGTTCGCTGTCAGTTTCTCTACTTGTAATAGGGTTTGTAAAAAATCCTGATCAGACTGCGCGTATGCGCAGGCTGGTCTGGATCCATGCTGGTCGCAAACGCACTATGTTGATTTTGTCATGACGCGGCTCATTTTAAGTTATACATACAGCTCGTCTTGCCATTAACTCTTGATAAGCAATGGAAAACAATAGGAAATGAATAAACACATAAACTGACTTCCATTGTGGCAACTGCACAGAATATCTTTTAACCGGTTTCTCGATCTAAAATGTACATGGAAATATCTCATATACCTTTCACTATATGTATATCATTTCAATTAAAGGTATAATGCTATATTTCATGAAGGAATTCTATAAGAATTTTAAGCAGTAAAATTATGTGGTTTCCATAATCTTATTATTGATTCTTGAAAAGTTGTACAATATAAAGTGTCTGTTATTAAACCCACGAGACTATTGTATGTTAACTGATCAAAATGTTCCGAAACAAAATATAATGCTGATATTTAAAGTAGGAAAATGTTAAGCAATGATTCCGTGCATGGGCCATTCCATTTTAAGGAAAGTTACACCCATATCATATTATTTCAAAGTTACTATTCATTTTAATATAACAATTGAAACCATTTATACATTCTTGTTTTAACAATGACAAAAATAAAATATTAAACCGAACAGAGAAAAAGTTATAATATTACCTTTGGTATATCATTTATATCCCCTGTTCTAGGTTTGCCAGGAAGCCAGCCAGGTCCGTACAGGAAATTCTTTACCCAATTTGTAACGCCTTTCATATCTAATGCTCTACCAAGAAGGTACTTTAGATAGCCGAACTTGAAAAATGATATATAAATACAGTTCAATACATTTTGAAATAGTTCCGATATAAAAACAACTACAAGACATATTGGTTGTTTTGTCTACGATAGCAGTGAACTGGCGATGATTGTTGCCAGAAAGTAGTTTCAAATATACACAATGTTGCACTTTTTCATTATCCCTCATGTACAGATTCAATCAAACCGAGTCTGCAATTTTCATGCAATTTTGTTGTGATTAATGCTTTTGGGGATCACTCTTTCTACAGATTTATTTCTTTTCATCTCGTACTAGTTCAAATTACTATTGACACATTGCATGTAGTGAAAATGCAAAATAGAAATAAGGGCAATCATCTTGTAATCACTTATTTACAATACTTTTATGGTCAATGGAGCTAACAATAAATATGAAATGAAATGAAAACTTTGCCTTTAGTTATTGATATGGCATATCAAGAGCCAAACAAAGAAGTTGTTTTCAAATCACTAGTCCAATCGTTAGCCTTGAATAATTTTCAAAGTGTACTAAAAAGTTATGCTGATGATCTAAGTACTGATAAAGTATAAACGTCACAAGTGGGGTAAAGTACAGACTTATGAAGTATTTGAATATTAAAATACCTGAACAGTAAATGGTTCAAATGAATTGAGAGGATGAGTTAGTCCATATGCTACTTCTTCTGACTCAGCTGCAAATGTTCCTGTAAGTAATATTAATATTGATAGTATGATATGTGGACTAAATGTTATTACACTAACATTACACTATTTTAGTTACATCTGATTTCTAACAAGGGATGTTAAAGTCAATCACCAAAGGTTAACTGAAATGAGGTATTAATATTAATTCTTGACAGTTACTTATAAGTCAACAAGAACTACGTTTTGGTGATATGCATCACCATCCAAAATACTTAAGTTCTTTCGGAAAGATTCTTACATAAATTGTAAGAGCTTAAAACAAGGAAGACTTTGATGGTCCGTCTAATGCATCAGGTAGGAGACTAAAATATGACAACTCTACATACGCCATGGAAACAACTTATTAAAAAGACCTTTGAGCAATTTGTAATTACATATAGAAAGAGAAGTGAAATAAATGTACATGTACCAAATAATCTGTCCCAAATAATGAGAGTACCGGCGTAGTTTTTGTCAATACAATAAGGGTTTCTTCCATGATGTACACGGTGATGGCTCGGTGTGTTGAATATATATTCTAAAGGTCCTAGACTTTTCACATACTGAAATTAAAATATAGAACCAAACTATAAAACGAACATGATTTATCAAAATTCAGAAAGTAAGGGACGAAAGAACTAATTTTGTAATTTGGAAAGGATATGTAATTAGCTAAAACGCAACACAAACCCCCAAAAAACTCTTTCTATGCCCTTCAAAGAAATGATAATGGTCCATATGGTTGAATGTCTTCTTTAATTAAACAAAAATCGACTTGAATACATATTTAATATCATTCAGTGAATTAATGAATACAAGATTTATAGGTCACCTTTCAGCAGATAATTACATTTAAGGACATGAATGGAGACATGTCTGGGCTTCATACTATCAATGCTTGAAAGAGCTATTGGACCCTCATTTAGCATAGAATGCACATACAATGTCTTATTTAACTTACTTCGAGACATAAATGTTTGATCTTTTCATTGGAGAATATTTTCTGCAAGGGGTATAAATATTTTTTACTTGATAGTATCTATGATCAAAGAAAACATCACATTAAAGATAAAAAAATCGGAGAACTTCTTACAGTAAGATGACATTATCACAGATTTTAGAATAATGTGTTTTTGATCGAGTTGTATGTTATAGGGATATAACTTCAAATTATAGGAATATAGCTATAAGTTTAAGGGATATAGTTTTAAGTTATAGGGATATAGTTTCAAGTTATAGGGATAAAATCGTATGTAGCTTTCTGACTTTTAGTATTAGAGAACTAGATCTAAGACTTTCCTTTATGTATAATTTCAGGCACTAGCGGGTATCTTGATAAAACATCGACCTTCCGCATGATAACTGGATTTATTTCTCTAAACTGTCAATATGTAACTTAATTTTACCTGGGTATGTATCCAAAATTGGTATAGAATGTTTAGCTCTTGATGTGCCAGGAACACAGCTGGGGGAACAAATAGAGCCATTGGTAGATAAAACACCTGTAAAAGTACAAAACAATTGTGAGTTATGATTGTAAATAACACCATAATTATATCAAGCTTAAAATCACTTCAAAATCAAAATACTTTTGATGCTGTAAGTTGTTTTGTTCTTCTCAAATTTAATCAGTTAATGAAAAAAATCTTATTATAATCATTATCACCATGTTCAAAGCATTCTATTAATTGCATCAATTGGACTAGGAGAAAGTCATCTTACCCATGATGTGTAAACTTGCAACCAAGACTGTCTGAGGGCCGTAGAAAAATTATAATCCTCCGAACTGTGGTGTGTTTGATGGAAAGACCACATAATATTCACCTCTGAAATAAATACAAAAAGTATGTGAATAATATTACTGATAAATGTTAAAATCCCTACAAGTTGTGTTTCATCTAAGTTAAGTCATGTCATGTTAAGTTTAAAAAGCAATGTTGTGTAATGTGTTTAAGTGCTTAATGTAAAATACTATGAGTTTTTTTTAACTAACACCTTGGGTACAATATTGAATTCTATCGACCAATGTCAGAAAAACCGCTAGCCAACTCCAATATAGGTGTTGCAGCTGTGTATAAGTCCAAAAAATCAGTATGGTTCTCCAAAATGTATAGTGAACTCTTTTATTTCATACCACCAGCCCTTCAGGAGAAACACATTAATTAAATCAAAGAAAACAATTAAAAAATCAACAAACAGTGTATTCCATCACAAATACAGTAACTGCAAGTATAGCATGAATTTGATACTTATGGACTCGGAATTAGAAACGAGACTACATCGATAAGATTATATCCAATAATGATTTACATTGCAACATCACGTGTTGCAAATGCTAGAAATCAATAGGTTACATTTTAAAAGGTATGGAAACAACAACAACAAAAAACGTTTATCCATTACCATGAGCAAATCTGTGGAACCAGTAGTAGGCCATGTCCACTCCCAGGAAGGTAAACCACCAAACCCAGGGGCTCTCCCAGGGTAACTCTTTGATACAGTAGTGATCGTAAACCCAGGAGTAGCCTGCTATTGTAATAGATCGAGTAATAAGTCTGAAACAGAAACATAACGTTTTTATAATATATATATTTTTTTTATAATTGTTTTTATATATTATTTCTTTTTGGTTGTTCTCTTTTTTTTTGGGGGGGGGGGGGGCATTGTTCGGTAATTACGTCGAACCACACGAGAAAGATCATATGGTGACTTTCAAGCTTTACTGACGGAGGCAGACCTAAGATTTCCCTCCGTACAATATAAATTAGGCACACCACAACTATCTGCTTGGTCATACATTTCTTTTCCTGTTGGTGCATTTCTTTAAACTTTCATCAACATTGATTTATTCATCTAGCAAGTTATAATTCCTTCAACTGTTATTATTGTTTTTTGCTTTTTTCTTCTAGTCAAAATGATTCACTGAAAAAAATATTACACTCTTGTGCTTATTATGATGAGTAAATTTCAATAAAGAATTAGCACATATACACACGAATATCACAAACTTTACTTACAAAGGTAATCGAGAAAACATTCCAGCGCTAAGTGAAGTGAAAGCATCATTCATTCTAACCTTTTTGTCTTGTTTTAATATCGAAATCACCGTCTCAATGGCCATAAACACAAAGAAAAATGGCGTAGCCTGAATGTAGATAGGAGTCATAAATTATATTGTCGGAGAATACAATACAGTTGAATATATACTGTGATGTAATTCGAGAGGAGCGTTGATCTAGTGGTAAAGGTATCTGCCTCTCATATCAGGGATCATAGGTCCGAACCCTACTTGGGTCACGACTATGATTCCTCATATGGCACAACCTCTTGTAAGTTCCAGGAAGTAAACTTAAAAGTAATTGATATAAAGTACTTGTTACGGAATAGAGCTAAAATAAATGTTTAAACTAATGTTATTTAATAAAAATTTCAAGCTAAAACAGAAAGAATATTTTTATACATATATAAGCTTTTAATATTAATAAACAAAGTATAGTCCAATAAACGAATCTTAGAGTGTACTAAATGAATTAGTGACGAATAAAATCGAGTACGAATCGTTAAATAAACACTGTAAACAAACCTCATTTATGTACTTTGGCACTTCTTCCGGTGTTCTAAACGTAGTCTCATTCGGGGACACAACATAAAACAACCTCCTCATGCCCGTAACAAAATCAACTTTGTTTAAATTCGACATTTTCACAAAACTTTACAAACGAAGGAGTAAATTATACGTTATAAAACTAAAGGGTTATAAAAAGGTCAAATATGATAACGAAAGTTATCTGTACACATGCGCAACTATTTAACAAAGAGCGCGCTATTTAAAAGATTTACAAACGCTAAGTCTACGCTTACTGGTGCACGTTAACATTTTAAATCTATACTAATTTTAGAGACTGACGAAAAGGTAAAGACTGAATGTTGAATTTTGTTGAAGATAAATATGATAATGTTTACAACATTGATATATAAAATAATAGTGACTTAAGATCTAAATGACCGAAACGGATGCATGAATAGCGCGAGCACCACTAAATGAAAATTGCTTAGACATTAAGAACGCACCAAAATCCCTTTAAAGATCCTGTATGTTGTAGGTTGTTACCACACTTAAGTGAAATTTTATATATGTATATAATTATGCTTATAAAACAATTTTCAAACATCGAAGAATATGTAAAATACATACTGCAAATATTTTTCCATATTATATGTAATCATTAAAATATATGCATTCATTTTTTATTGAAAAATTTGACTAAGGTTTTATAGAAAATAAATTTCTAATTACCTCCCTTTATTGACATGAAATGTTAAATTCGGTAATATCTTTATAAATAATGCTTTTTGGAACTTACAATATCAATAAATCTTAATTTGAGCATCTTATTTATTATATAAAACCATAAAAACTGTGTTACAGGATCCTTAAAACTTTGCTTAAATAACAAGTTATGTATAGCCTTTTCATTTGTTGTATTGTATTCTATTTAAGCCGGTGCTAACGGGCATGAGAATGTTTTCTTTAATGAACAGACTCACTTAAACTTTGTATCATTGCACTTGAACAGATCTTCTCTTTTCGAGGGTTAATGGATATACATTTAACAAAAATAAATAATTGATAATCCGTTAGTCGAGTAAAAAATACCAGAATTGAACTGCATTTGCAACATTTTCAATTTTGCCGTTTTATACGTTCTTAAGTGATTCTCTTTCTATCTATTTTTATATAAAAATTTGATCTCCTATAAAGTTGAGCTAATTCAATTCTTTACAGCCCATGTGACCTCATTTTTAAACATGGTTTAGATGTCTAAGGGGGAGGGGGCCTAAATACCAACCGATTTCCTTTCATACTATTTCAATCTAGATTTCGAAAATAAATACTATCATTGTAAATTTGTGAAATAGTCGTGTAAATTTTTAAACAAAAAGCTCACAATTTCAGTAAGTATATACGAGTATATTATGTATTAACGTAAAATTTTTATTATCGAATGTGTCTTTCAAGTTTAAACTTTAAATTCATGCCTCCAGATGCGCCAAAATATTTCAAGAAAGTTAATTTGAGAAAAATGTACTAAGATTTTAAGAAAAAGATTACAGATTCAAGTAGTAATTTACATATTATGTGCAATAAATGACTGAAGTATTTATCACCATATTTTTAACTGTGTGACTAACACAGAAACGGCTATTTTTGCTTATTTTGGCTTCTTTTTGGGGGAATTTTCGTAGATTGTAAGTGCCGTTCGCAATGAGATCTATTTACAATATTGTACTTTTAAATACATGTACATTTTTTTTTAATTTTCATGAAATTTCGGCATGAATATGGAGACATGCTATTTGAATCTAAGAAAGACGCCCCATTGCCAATGGCTCGACAAATATTTAAACATGAATCATGTTATGCATTTTGCCAATAGGTAGTGTTAGCATTGAATCTATATTTAATTTTCTATTCTTGATATTAACCGTATTCAAATATTTCCATCCAATAGATTTGTCATATGCGTGAAATCGACTTTCATTCGAATGTTTAACAAAAAAATAGGAAACAGTTAAAAGGTTTATACAAGAGCAAAACAGTCACCATATTTTTTCACAATTACTGAAAAATCAGCTGAAAACTATCGTTCAAACAAACTCAAATATATATTTGCATGGTTAGTTGCGTGCCACAGTTTGCTTTAAGGATATGATTAAAGCATAAACTTAAGTGCTTATTTCTTAAGAGTTACACACAAAAGCTGGTAGAATCAAATACTTTTTGTATCTTTCTGTATATAGATCTACTAATTTGATTAGTCAAACTACATTGACATAATACAATTATATAAGGCTGTGTAACACCGCACTTTGGGGTCAAACGCACTTTGGGGTCCGACCCCAAAGTGCGTTAAACTTCGCACCGCACTTTGGGGTCAAACGCACTTTGGGGTCAAAATCGAGAAATTGACCCCAAAGTGCGTTAATATGCTACATAGCAACGCACTTTGGGTTCCAGAGGTCTAAAGGTGTAATCTGAATTCTGCTTAAATACTGAGAACTGACTTATTTTCGATCTTCGACATTGAAATATTTGAGGTGGAGTTCAAGATGGCGGTCAATACTTTGATGATGCTTAAGTGATAAAAGTTTCATTAATTTTACCACTTAAAATATCCAATAATAATAATAATTTGTTCATATAACAAAATTACGGTGGCATAAAAGTGGCATTTGCATTTATTTTTATTTAAGTTTTGCATACATATTTTTATTTAAGTTTTGCATACATATTTTTTTTCAGTTTTGCATTCATATTTTTTTTTTGAGCTTTGCATTCATATTTTATTAAAGTTTTTCGTACATTTTTTATTTTGGTTTTTCGTACATATTTTAGCCAATCAAAACAGCCTTCACATCTCATAACAGCCCATAGTTGAGTATAAAACTAGCACAGTAGTTTGGTCATATTTCGGCCCATTTTTTGGAATCGGCCCAGTCGTTTTTGGCCGCGCAAGTCTGGTTTCGGCCGACCTTTTTCGGCCCATTTTTTAAATCATATGTATTTAATATAATTAGTGTATTTTTTTAAATTATTATCTACTATTATATTAGTGTCTATTTGGAAAGGGCTGTTGATTGGTGAATGAATATGCACCACTCAACCCCACCCCCTGAGTATAGCGGGGGGAGGGGCATTGACTTTAAACCAAGCCGACCACTGGTAAAATCTTCGCCCTGCGGGGGATATTCAGATAATAACATTCCTGCCTTATGCCCCGGAACAGCGCAGACATCACACGATTCTTTTTTAACCCGCACTCCCCCGGGGGCAAGGGAGGTGGTTACAAATGACTGGTGTATTACAATAATGCACAATAAAAGATCTAAATAGGTCCTTATATTCCACTGATTTAGAAAAAAAAATATATATATATATATATACATGTATATACATGTACATGTATATATCAGAGACATAGACTTCCATATAAAACATGTAAACTACTTATCACTATAACAGTACTGTACTCATCATTGTCAAAAAGCAACAGATGAAAAAGATGGTTCAAGTAATTGGCCAATGTGTATTTTTTTGATAATATAAAATAACATCCAAATTAAAAAGCTGAAGAAAAACAAATAAAAGCATAATGGGCCTTTAAAATGTTATTTTTAAACCTCGGGGAGATCGATACCCCACAATCCCCTCTATACCCCCAGTGAGAATTTTATACCCCGGTCACATATTCACGGAAAACACCCACGGAAGAGCCACGGATGAATTCCGGCATCGTCCGTAGCTACCCGTACTGGTCAGTAGCTCTCCGTATTGTAACCGTAATCAATCGTAGTAGTCCTTGTATATCCGTAGCCATCCTTGACAATTTTTGAACATGCACAAAAATTTGCTACGGAAAAATCAACCATAGCGTATCCCTATTAGTCCGTATTAAACCGTACTGATACACACTGGTCCGTACGAAAACCGTACTAGTCTGTACTGATTCGTAGGCCCCAACTTGTCAAGGATTTCCACGGTTTGGTACGGAGAACTACGTATTTGTACGGTTACCCTACGTATAAGCTACGGTTTTAATACGGATTAATACGGCATTGTCACGGAAAGCCACGATTGTCATACGTTGTACTACGGAGAGGCAGGGATTAGCACGGTCTTATACGGTTTATTGCGTTGCATTACGAAACGGTACGGAATGGTACGGTCCATCACTGTGTAGTACGGATAAATTAAGTATCATGTACTTTTTCAAGGGTATAAATAGTTAAAAACAGACATATTTGCGTGAACATTCAATAAACGATAATTGCCATTAAATGGCTGCAACTGTATATTGATATGGCTCAGAATGCGGAGTTAGTGGTAGAGCTGCTTGATGACATGCATAGAGATAAAAAAAAATATGTTAATATCGTACAGCAGTAATTAATAGAATAACATTTTAATGTTACATATTTTACAAAAGAATGGATCGTGAAATTGGAGTAAATATTTACATAAAACGAATTGTCTCATAAGCCTCCGACGCTGGCCTTTTAGTGATAATAATATTTATTAACAAGCTTTTTACATATTCTTAAAACATACACATGCACAATAATTAATGTTATTGTAAAATGAACAGCACATTTTAAAATCAAAAGAGAAGCAGTATTGATCAAGAGAAGACAGAGGAGATGATGGGCTAAAGATAGGCTTTTTCGAAGACCCCTTCATGTTTAGTATGAGGCTCTCATGGACAAACTTCTTGGGGATCCGGCGTCCTTCAAGAAATTGACTATAATCGGACCTGATATGTCTTTGGGGTCGGACGCGATGAGGCCGAATCCTTTCCGCCAAAATCATTGAACTTTGCAATACGTTTTCTATGTGTTCTTTTCTTGTGAGGCATTTTGAAAATGAGCATGCAAGAGGTTGTGGACGGATATAATAGGTCCGTATAGATCCGTGGCAATTCGTTCTTCTCCGTATCAATTCGTTCTTCTCCGTATCAGACCGTACTTATTCGTACTAACCCGTGCTTATACCGTAGCAGACCGTAGTGTATCCGTAGTGCGTCCGTCCTGATTCGTGTCGCTCCGTATCAAACCGTGTCGGTCCGTAACAATCCGTGTCTCTCCAGGGGCTTTTGGTGGTAAATCCGTCGAAGTCCGTACTCATACCGTTGTGTGTCCGTACTGGAACCGTAGCGGTCTACGGATTTTCACATTTCCGTAGTAATCCGTGAACGATTAGACCGTAGCTCTTCCGTGGCATTAT